TATTATAGGGATGGCACTGGTCAAATCTCACGTGATCCGCGTACAAAACGCCCTAAAATTAAGTCAGAATGACTCACGAGGCCTTCAAAACACACTACCAATAGTCTATATAACATTATTATACAGGCCCATATCTAGCTATACATGTACCCAAAGACCTCATAGGCACCTTAGTTTCTCCACGCGAGAATTCTCTGATCATGCATACGCAATTTCACGATTTTCTTCTTTTTAGACCCGCTATCTCCTTACTGGAACCAGTTGATGCGCTGATTTTTTTTTACTGAAGGTCTCCAAATTCGCTGGAGGTGTGCACGGACTGCAAACTATCGTTTCTTTCTTGTTGCTAGTCACTACGGTAGATCATGGAGCTCTTCCATGGTCGACACTGAACGCCATTTTCTGCCAGTGAGCCGCATGCGCCGCGCATTACCAGGCGGGTTGACAGACTGCGGAGCAATGCCACAACTTGTGTTAGTGAAAAATTGGACACTGAAAGTAGAATGAATGCTATTCAAATGCAACATAATTATCTCTCATTAGATAGCTACCCACAACTGTGACATACACACCATCATGTTTTATTTTCAAACAGCACAGTTTTGTTTCTGGCATTAGATGCCCACAACTTTTGTGACATTAGAGGTTCGGAATGAAGCAACATGTTTTCCGAGTTACTGAGAATATCCATTTTGAACAACATAACTCTCATTAGTGACATTATATGCCCACAACCCTTGGACACTAAAAGCAGGTCTGTAATAACAGTGCTGTAGAAAATTGACATTATGGACCTGCCCACAGGTCCTCTTATGGCCAACCAGCATTTCCAGAAGCAGCACCAACCTACCTGCAATAATTCACTATAAAAGGAAACTATGTTAGTTCTGTAGTCAGCGACTAAAGTACTCGCTTGTTATCATGAACATGGAGAAGACTCTACTGGCTGCTGTGGTATACACAGCCTTTCTGTTTGCCAGTGCTCAATCCACGGTCAACGATGACACTAGAAATATACCCTCCAGCGGTAAGTTCTACAGAATGAGCTGCAATATCTAATCCAACACTTCATTATTATTAGTTGCATTGGAAAAAAGAGGAATTACAGCCCAGAAACCTCCAATGGTTGAGCTGCTGAGGGGCAGGGATGGGCGAGACGGTCGTGATGGAGGCCCTGGACCTCGAGGACTGCCCGGGAAAGATGGTGTCAACGGAAAGACAGGGGAACAGGGAGTACGTGGATCTCCTGGGCCTCCTGGGCCAAGAGGTGGGGGAGCCACCTACGTCAGGTGGGGTCGCACCACCTGCCCTGATGTACCTGGGACTGAACTGACTGGTATTACAAACAAGGAAGAGTTGCTGGAGTCACTACACACACAGTGGTGGAGGCAGCACTATCAGGTCTCACAATGGGCCAGCAAAGAAACTGATTTTGACCACACATCGAGCGACGCTCTAAGATACTTCCCTACATAAACTCCAAACCTTCTACCTCAGACACTCCCTCTTTCTGTACTACGCCTTCTCCATTGATAATCGGGTACTGTGTTCGATGCATCTTTGCTACTACATGGCACTGAACCTATGAAATGGTGAGATTCCAAGTCAAACCTCACACGACTACCTGACATGATGTTCCCTGTGTTGTATGTTACTGTTACACTCTGCCCAGCAACTCGCTGATGATACCTGAAAGTATACTGCCCTAAACTCGGACTCGCGAGTACTATGGCTACCTCATGGCTGCACACTACAAGCACCACAGATCAACATTGAGTGTGTGGATGCATCGCCTGAAGTTGTAGTTGGTGGGCCTGGACATCACACACGGAGCTCTTTATTCATCATGTGGAGCCTCGCTGTGGCAGTCTCCCCTGCCCTCCCTATGACCAGCAAGAAAGAGATGACATGCGCAGTCTGCAGATCGTGAACATACAAGAAAAGTTGAAGCACTGAACTGTAGAGAACCATCTAGAGCTAGCTTGTCATACCATCAGTATGAGACACTTAGTAAAGTTTGTCCTTGTAGCTATGATTATCATATTTTTCAGTAGAAAACCACCGTTTATAAAACCCAAGCGACATTGTCACTGTGCATCCAATACAAATTGCCACTCTATCCAGCATGGCATCCTGTACCAATGGTTAGTGTCCTGTCAACACATACTGTTCTCTTGTCTTGAGGTACCCAGCACACTCCACAGTCCATGTTAAGTCACAAGTAACCTGTACATGGCTGCTTGCTCTTTTACGTTGCCTGCAAGGTGTAATGCAATTGGTGTCATGTCCATATTATGTATACCTTGACTATAGCTACAGTATGCCAGTGTAATCCTCGAATCAGCTAAGTGGAAACCTCGTTAATACGAACACTGTTAAAGTGAAATACCTGCTTAATACAAACCACATTGAAATATCAGGCACTATGACACTAATACAACTAGCTACTGTTGTAGTGAAATTCTTTTAATATGAAAATTTTTTGATGGTCCCCAGGAGTTCCTATAACGAGGTTCGACTGTAAAACGTTTCGTTCTTTTCACTAGCAAGTGGATGGGATGACACCCACACCAACAATCCTCAACACCTTGAATATACCTGTAGTGTGCAGTGTAATCTTTCAGAAAATGAGCTAAACTTTTCGTACTTTTCACTAGCCAGTGATGGAAACCCCAACCAACCCGCCTTGATATAGCTGCAAGTGGGCAGCAAGGAAAGAGCTAAGCTCTTCTGTACTTTTTACTTGCAAGTGAAGGAAATATACAAATAACAAGCTTCAATACCTTGACTATATCTGCAGTGTGCAGTGTAATTCTAAGAAATGAGTTGAACCTTTCGTCCTTTCACCACCACGTTATGGAAAGACAGGACAACCAGTTACGCCGAGTGATAGTTTGGCTGTGGTCCAAACAGGTCCACACTGAAATATTGTGCATTTTTGTTAGTTAGGCAATAATCATGGTACATACAAGTTTTCCCCTCACTTCCTAACAGAATTATTTAAACATACTCAAACCATACTCATAGTCAGTAGAATGACATAAAAATGCTAGCTACATGCTGCGTCTGAGCAGAGCGACTTCAAGACAACCAGTCCACTGAAAAGAGAGACTGAATAATGTGGGGTTAGATACTAAAACACTCTACCTGCAGCAACACATTGGAGTGGACAGCGAATGTGAATGAACCACCATGCTATGCCTGGCTTGACCTAGGAACGGACACAATAATGGTAAGTCGTCAGCATAATGTGAATAGTTAGAGGATGGAGGAGAAGTACCACACTCAAATCACCTGCTCTGGCCCTCACCTCAAACCTCCCACAAGCAACATCTACAATCTCATACATCATGCACCTATAAGGTACTGAAGACGCTGTCGCTAAGGCATCCACACTATTTCCAGTTTTCAGGAACAAAAAACTAGAAGCGCTGTCTGCAACATGCGGTAGCTATATAAGCACGCTGCCTACCTGTTTTATGACACTGTGTGTATAATATGTAAGAGACATGATGCCAGCGTAGAGAGAGAGAGAGCGTTGATATCTGAGCATGATAGCTGCTGTATAATAATGTTTGTAACTACTTCCATAGTTTATTAAATAAAAATTAAGCTGCATGTACACGCATGTGATGCTAGTGAACAAATATTAAGCTAGGTCTGGTGCATGGTGTGATCATTACACCAACTCGCCATTTGTCTCTGAATTGGCTACATTTTAACATGCGTTCTGCGTGAATGAAGGCAGCAAAGATTATGTCATCCATACACACAATCAATCACGAGCATTGCCCCAGGGGTTTCCCCTTTTAGGGGCTCAGCCCCCATCAGAAGCTCCACCTCTTTGTGGTAGCTCTAAAGTGTCGCTACATAATATTTTTCTCTCGCATGTGAGCACCACTGAGGTCCATGACATGTAGCTACTCACAATAATGCAACTCACAATGGCAAACAGGGGCCGGCTGCTTGGTACGCCCTGTGCAGTAAAGCTCAGAGAGTTGGTGGAAGAGGCCAGAACTCTCCGTTGAGAAGAGGGAGATGACCGAAAACTCTGCCCGCCTGTAGAACCTTACTTGTAGGTGAGTCCCTCGCTGCCGGTAGATGGAGGATCCCACTCCAGGACACCACAGCTGGGTCTGCTCACATTCTCTATATCTCCTAAGAAGAAACAGTTCCACTTACATCAAACTAATTTTTCAGATTGAGTATATTATATAATATTATAATACATAGCTACCTGGAACTGGAGGTGATGTTGCTTCAGAGGTAGGAGATACAGTAGTTGGGATAACTGCACATAATAGATAAAATAGGATCTATGGAGTTTGTAAAAGATAAATAAAAAGAGGATAGCTATTATACTTACCATCATCATCTAATATACAAATTGTGTGCTCACAAAAATAGTTTGTGGCACTATTTTCGTCATTGCAAGTGAACTGCCGCCTATCTTGAACATCTTCAGTCAGTAGGCGAATGGTGAAGCATTCCTCATCCTCAATAACAAAGTCATTTCTGATAACTACCAGCAGCGAAGGTGAAATTTCATTCTCCCCGCGTCTCAAAAGATGCTCAGCCTCTAAGGGTCCTTCATCAGGAGCTAATCTAACTGAGAATAAGGCATCGACGTCTGGCTCAGACGTGTAAATCTGATCAACCGTAGCCGTGCTGGAGGATTGGAGAAGACGGAACACAAGGTGTAGGTCCCTTACAGCCACTCGGTCGGAAGTTACAGGAATACTGGGCACAAGTACGTCATGGATGGATGGTATATCTGCTTCTGACACAGTCTGACTCCTCTGAGTGAATCCAACCTTTATTGGAGCTTTAAAAAATGCAAAGGGGGTAAAAACAGTCACGTATAACACAGTTTCAACTTGCAGAGCTTTAGTAGATGCTTTTATGTAAGGATGACACGGGTAAAAATCTCATGTATTCAGCATTACAAAAGCCTCGAAATTTGGCAAAAACAATCTTTTTACGCCCTTCCAAACACACTAGCAGTAGCCAAGGGGCCCATCATGTAGTGATCAATTAATTTCCCACAGAGTTTTAAACGAGAATAAGGGGACAACAGCAAGATCACACAAAAGATATGCAATAACTCACTGGGACATGCAGTGCATGTTCCATTACTAAGAAAGGCAAGTCCGTCGGCCGTTTCAAAGCAGCAGTCTCTGTTACTGGCAGCTGCCACAGTACTCCCTGTGCATTCACTGTCAGTAAAGCACTGAGAGAATCCTCGTCCTGTGAGTAAAAGAAACAACAGGAAAATACTGCAGCTGCACATGTTCTTTGATTGTGGCACCAGCGGCTCGTTTACAGTTTAACTCATCTCCCAGTTCTTAGCTGCTTTTATAGCGTATTGGTCAAAGAGAAGTTGAAGCACAGTCAGAGGGGATGTGGGGTTTACAGGGGGTGGGCGCATAGGTAACGATCTCAGGTGATGAAGGAAGGATCTACAATGTCCTAGTGAAACAGAAAGGATCTACTGTGCTAGCATCAGCATCACCTCCCCCTATGACAAAGGTAAGACTTCGCATGCTGAATAGCAAAGCATCACCGTAATGCCCTACAGAGTTCTTGAGAGTCTTCAGGAGATGGTGGGACATCAGAGTGGGATGCGAGTGGTGAGATGTGGGAGTGGGGTCATGCACAGGCTGCATAGAACAGGAAAAAACACGCTAGTCGTGTTGATTGAATGTTATTTCTCACGTATATACCTTTAGAGATGTCAGTATATTATGAGTGCCCACACATTGTGAAATCATGCTGTATTGCACTGCTGCACACGAGAGTTTTACGCTCTACTTTAATTAGGGGATCAAAGCTACTGTACAGCACAATACAAAGCAAAGGCAAGCCCCATTAGCTTGCATTGAGAGAAGTGAGTGATTCAATATATGGCAATTGTGTCGTTTGGACCACAAGGTAGTAGCTTGCTCCCACTTACAAACGAGGCAATGTTCTGCAGAGATGCAGATGAATCGCATAGAGGTACAGTATGGCTTAGGAATTGTGGTTCAATCCTTAACTTTATCACATGTACATAGTATTCGGGCTTAGCCACAATTAATTTTGCTGAACCACTAACTCTGAGAAATTCACACAAGCTCTATAGCTAATGAATTGGAGAGCTAGCTTAGCTACTTGGCTCACTCCTGCTCACCAAAGAAGCTGTGGTATCAGTCTACACACAGATGCTATTTATCATGGCATGCATAGAGCACAGTTAGCTAAAAGGATTGCCCATTGAACCTTTCTGTGAATAAATAACGAACGAACTCTGCGCGCATGCGCAGCGAGGGTTACGGTAGTCCGGTACCCACTTCACGAGCTATCAATCGCCCAACAAACAATACAACGTATTCAGAACTAGAGTTTTGGTTGTGTGTTTAGAGTCTATACTATATGAATTCTTATTCTGTGTGAAGGTTTATGTGTTTGTTTTGAGTTTGTATCTTGAGATAAAAGCAATCAAGCAAGTCTTCTCAGTTCATTCACTCTCCATCTAAGTCAGTCAGTGTAGCTAATCGTCAATCGTGGAGCCTATGTGGTGTAATGTAATTTGTTGCCAGTTCCGTCACATCCTTACATTTAGTGTCGGTTTACAGTGTACACTCTCTGCTATGCAGTAATTGTGCATTGAATGGGTATGGATTTTGTTCAGTGCTTGCCAATTTATCAAGACTCTATACTGGCTCAGCACTAATTAACCCTCGGCGCGCACGCGCAGCGAGGGTTACGGTAGTTGGTTTGTCTGTCTGTCTGTCTGTCTGTGTGTGTGTCGACGCTTATTCTGGCACTACAGGCCACGAGGTGGCTAATGAGCGATACCAACGGCTTCAGAACTACGGGAGCCTGAAAAAGTATTAGGCAATTTTCCTGAATCATGCTGTGTTGCCTAAAGCTGCTGCACACGAGAGTTTACGCTCTACTTTTCTTATGGGAAAAAAGGGGGTCAAAGTTACTGTACAACACAATACAAAGCAAAGGCAAGCCCCATTAGCTTGCATTAAGAGAAGTGAGTGATTCATTTAACTTCATATACGGCAATTGTGTCGTTTGGACCACAAGGTAGTAGCTCGCTCCAACTTACAAACGAGGCAATGTTCTGCAGAGATCGCATAGAGGTACAGTATGGCTTAAGAATTGTGGTTAAATCCTTATCTTTATCACATGTACATAGTATTCTGGCTTAGCCACAAGTTGATGAACCACTAACTCTGAGAAATTCACACGAGCTCTATAGCTAATCAATTGGAGAGCCAGCTTATATAGCTACTTGGCTCACTCCTGCTCACCAAAGAAGCTGTGGTATCCGTATACACACAGATGCTATTTTATCATGGCATGCATAGAGCACAGTGGATTACCCAATGAACCTTTTTGCACTCTCAACTCTAATTAACCCTCTGCGCGCATGCGCAGCGAGGGTTACCGTGTAGTGTTGATAGTTGTGTGGGTAGCTACCCTGACATCTCACTTCACGAGCCATCAATCGTGCCACAAGCAATAGTAATTTGTTGCCAGTTCCGTCACATCCTTACATTTAGTGTCGGTTTACAGTGTACACTCTCTGCCTATGCAGTAATTGTGCATTGAATGGGTAGGGAGTTTGTTCAGTGCTTGCCATTTTCTCAAGACTCTGGCTCAGCACTAATAACTAATATTATTCAGCAATCACAAAAGGTGTATTGATGGCTCGCCAATTTCTCAAACTGTGGGCGAGGCATTGTAGCTGCTCCAGCAATAGGCACAAAGTGGATATGTAAATTCAAGTGCCAAAAGACTCAAATGGATCAGGGCACAAACCTTTGTTAACAAGCCAATTCTACTTCTATATAAAATGCGCACAGCATATCAGGTACAATAGCTGAACCAATCGGCAACTTCCGAAAATCTGCAGAAAATGAGGTTGGCACTGCTGATGATTGTCTTTGTAGGAATATCAATGTGGATGAGCAAAGCTGTTGCGCATTCTCCTCGTAAGGTTTTCAATTGCCATAGTACCTATGCTTTACTGGATGTGTTACTTTAGGCAAAAGTGCTTCTATCTCCAAGTACAGTCGTCAGCACTGGGGAGAGTTTTTTGAGATCCTGCAAGGTATAAAAGGCCCCCAGGGACTACAGGGGCCTGAGGGACCACTGGGACCCGAGGGGCCTGAGGGACCACAGGGGCCACAGGGGACTGAGGGGTCACAGGGGGCTCAGGGACCACAGGGCCCTGCTAGGCCTGGAGGGGTCACATACATTAGATGGGGTCGGACTGACTGTCCCACCACACCAGGAACTGAAGTGGTCTATAGCGGGCGAGCTGGAGGAACGTTAAACATAGTTCAAGGCGGTACTAGTGACTATCTCTGCCTGACTAACGAACCAGAGTTTTTGCAAGAAAATCCTGGGTTCATGGAGCTTTCTGCTCGAATACATGGTGCAGAGTATGAAAATCCTCTAATAGACGGTATTGCAGACGATGATAGAGTTCCCTGCACTGTGTGTTTCACGAATGAACGAGTAGCATTGATGATGATTCCAGGTCGACTTACTTGTCCTTCAACCTGGACAATGGAATATTCCGGGTACCTTATGACAGAGAGAGACACCGATCATTACAGGAGGGAGTCTGTGTGTGTTGATGAGAATGCTGAAGCAATAAGTAATCCAGCTGACTCAGCTGGTAATGGCGCCCTCTTCTACCACACTGAGGTGGAGTGCAATGGGCTGGAATGCACTCCATATGTAGAGGGGTATGAACTCACATGTGTAGTATGCACACGATAAAGTGAAATCGATCCTGGGCATCCAGTACAAGAACTAAAATACAAAGACCTGTAGTAACTTACTGTTGTATAGCTATTATAGTTCATGATTGTAGCTCATTCTATTCAGTGACATAGATAGTTGTTGCATAACTTTGTAGAGCTATATTGTTTAGTGTTGATATTATTATGTAAATTAATTTGTATATATACCGCTGCGCCCTTGAACATTCCAACAGCTGGCTCAAACTTCGACAATTCAAAACTGTTATGCGTGCTGGCATCCAGACTTACGTAACTCTGCATAATCTATCATCATAAATAGGGTATATACGATGTGTAGATTTGTCAGATGCGGTTAGATAACGAAAAGATAATGGGCATAGCTACATGTACAAAGCCAGCAACGCCTCACCAGGTAGAGTCCTATTCTGATAATTTAGTCATCATGCAAATCTTAGTCATCTATTGACATAATAAGACTGGTGGAATAAGTGTTGGAGCTAGCTACTGCAAAGCATAAAGAACCTGCTGAACCTCTTCGGACTCCAAATGTCACATAGAGAGGGTCGCATTATTGTAACACTTAATTATAAAATGTGTTCAGAGCTTCCATAAGTCCATAAGAATTTATATAGCGGTTATAATACTAGGCACTAATACTACACACTTTACTAACACACTTTATACATGAGTTTCTGCTTATTTAAGGAGATACCTATGGCGTCCAAAGGTTCACTGGAGTTAGATAGTAACCACTCTTTTCTCAGTTCCAATGTCAGTTTGTTTGTTGTAAGCAAAGATCTTTAGGACATAGCGTCCAGGCTTTAATCCAGTGAAGGACACACTACCAGAAGAACCTGCATGTTGTTCATAAATAATGACACTATTTCATAATATTGTGCTGTGTACTCACAGTCTTTGTAGTCATTTTTGTTCTCATATCTGAGGAAGCACCTCACTCCAGTCACTGGTCTGGTGGTTAAAAACTCTGCCTCCACAGAGCTCTCATTCACACGAGGTGAACCACCAGTTAGAACGACCTCCAATGGTGGCACGCTGGCTGGCACTGGAGTTTGTTTAAACATCATACAAGTTGTCTGTCCAAGAAATGGTATGGCGCAGCATGTACGAGGGTACGTGTGCCAGCAATTTATCACACCCATAAGGTGTATGCTACTATAAAACGAGTGTTGTAAACACAAGGCAAGTACATATCAACTAAAACCTGAGAAATACGTACAGTGTTCTGCTAGAGTAGAAAAGGTAAGCTCACCATTGGTTGCAGCAGCAGCGATGTAATATGGCACGGTGCTCTCTCCTCCAGTGCTGGCCACAATTCTCACAGAATGGTTACCAGGAGGACTGACAATGCTAGTCAGTACCATTGGTACTCTGCCTACAGGTAAACCGATATGGTGTAACCAAATTCTTGAGGAAAAAACACATACACAATACATAATAATAATAATCATTATTATTCTTCACAAATTAATTGAACATCAACTTAGCTTACATCGGTGAAGTGGTCTTCCATCAAACGAACATTGTAGAGTTGTATCTGCTCTAACACCACTGCAATTAATTTCTACTTCTGTAACACCAGTAGATGTGCACGACAGTCCTACGAAAATTACATGTTGGTTACTCCCAATAAGGAAGTGATTATACTTAATCCCTGTCTTTGCTTACAATGTTGTGTGAATGCCAAATGAAGGGTGTGATCAATAATTCTACAGGTTACTGTGCAACATAAAGAACCACAGTATAGCTTGCATTGGAATTCTTAGTGATAATGCTGCAGCCTGTGATTGTGCCAGGCTGTCTACAGCTGAACATCAGATTGCTGACTCTTTTTACTAGAAAGCAACAATAATAATAACTCCGCACCATCATTGTCCAATATGAATATGATTCCGTTTGCTGGGTCCAGATCAAACCTTCTCGAGTCAGCAGTTGCAAACGCCAGAGAATAGGTGAAAAACTCTTCGGCTTCAGTGACTGTGTCATCTGTTATGGCGACGTCCACACACAATTGATTTAGACAGGCATGAAAGGAGAGACGTGAATCAGCTACAGTGTAATCAACGTCGCGAACTGCAAAGGAAATTAATGTGTCTGTCTGGTGATAAAAGGTAAACAATTAATTGAACCTGCAGTTCCAGAAACGGTGACAAACATGAGTTCAAAGGGAAATTCCGCGGGACACGGATCATCAGGGAGAAATATAACAGTACATATCTCAACCATGCCAACATATTTCGGAAACTGTCAAAGATGTCTGCTCCAGGCCTACCACACCTCCTGTGAATAAAAAGTATAATGTTTTGGATGGAAATATAGTAGGTACCAAACCTACTGTCATTGTCCAGAATGAGGATCGAGGCATGGTTATTAGTCTGGTCCACTAGAGTGAGACTGGTGGTAGTAAAACCAACACCAAGTGTAAGACCAATATATTCGTGTTGCTCCAGTCTCAGATCATCATATATGGGCTGATTGTAGCAGACCGTCCTAGTTTCTTGTGTAATCAGAACATCATCAATGCTATTGATAGCTCTTGTCTGCTGGGCAAAGTCAGAGCCTTCTACCATTAAATATTGACTGAGGAAATTTGGTGGATCAGGTGCTGGGAGAAAGGGAAAAAAACACCTATACACCAATCTGTATTAGAGTTACATTCACACTTACTTGCCAGTGGAGCACCAGCAGGGATGTAGACTGAACTGGAGTTATCAACGACAAACACATTGACCGTCTCATCAAGAATGTCAGTTTCTGGTTGCGTTAGAGCAATGCACACGTTTACTGATCCCACACTCTCATCAACAGCGTACGTTGTCTCCACAAACGAAACCACAAATGGCTCTACGGAAATAATATAGTGCCATATGCACTCTCCAATGAGGAATGTAACAGCTTACCATCGTCATCTGCAATAAGCACCTTGTGTTCACAAAAGTAGTTAGTAGCATCTAGAGCGTCACTACAGCTGAAAGACAAGCAACGGCACCGATACCCAAAACTGATGGGAGAAACGAGTATGGAGAAACTTTCTTCTTCTTCTGGGACAATATCATTTCTGATGAAGACTCTCAGTGGTGGGACACTGGTCATTCCTGCTGGTAGAGTGTAGGTCAAGGTGAGCGGACTATCAACGTCGCCTCGTCCGCCAAACAGAGCATCAATGTCAAGGTTGTCGAATGGTTCCATAACTGAATTTACACCAGCTGTAGTCATTGACTCGTCGAGTTGAAACCTCATTACGTGCTCCCTCTCTGATACCCTGTTGGTAGCTATCTCTATAAAGAGTGAGTATAAGTCTCCGGGCAGTGTCATGTTTTCTGATACTGTCTGAACTCTTTGGGAGAATCCAATGCGCATTCCTGTGAGGGTAAGGGAAACTGAATACAAAGTCATCAAAAGGTCTGATGACAGCCAAAAACACGACCTTGCCAGAACAGTGCTCAAACGTTCATAGCATGGATGATGGGATGGGAGACCAAAACTACGCAATAGCTATGTGGGGTGTGGGAAATCAGTTGTTAGGAGAGGTGATAGGTGGGTGATGAAGGTGGGTGTCCGGCCAAGGACAGATACATAACTTACGATCATTGTCGTCTATTCTTATCTCAGTAGCTCCTTCTCGTCCTAAGCACTCTCTCTCACGGGCAGTCTGGAAGCAGACGACTCCATCAGGGACTTCAGGTCCTATCCCAGCAACAATTGCAAAGCTCTGCTCATCCTCATCGATATCGTCATCAGTGACCGTAAAGAATTCTGGTATGGGGAATCTTTCAGTGTTGGCAGGGACTGTAACAGTGACTGGACCACCAGTGAAGTCTTCGCCTTATAAGAAATAGAAAAGCAAGGGATATGATATTGTTCAATGACAGCATTGATTTCTTCTACAAATATGAATCTGACATCTTCAGTTAAAGTAGTGAGCTTAGTTGTAACACAGAGTATATAAACAGCATTCTCCCTTGCAGGGTTACTGGTGTCCTGCCTCATGTTTACAACCACCTTTTAACTACCTGCTGTTGCTCTTAATGTGTTGTTTAGGTCATTGATGAATGCTCCACTGACTTCAACTGTGCCCAGAGAAACAGCACTGAAAATAACAGTGAATGGATTCTGATTATTATTGTAAAGTAAGAAAAGAGGGGTACTGGGCGATGTTGAACCCTCCGCAAATGAATAGTCACTCTCTCCAAAGTGAATCTCTAACTCTGAAAATGCAAGAAAACTGTGCAGCTAAACATTTTATTCATCGTGGATACACTCACGATCGTTGTCGATAATGTTAATAATGGCGGCATTCCCTCATGTACTCCCCTGTCGCTTCGAAAAAAGAGGGAAGTGGAAGGCGAGCATTATACTTAAGTTGGATCCTGTCTTCATACTCCAAAGTGATGTCATCGTCAATAGTGCGGAGAAACACTTCTGCAGCATTTCTTATAAATTGGCCGAAGTCCTCAAAATCTGAAAAACCTGCAGAGAGGAATGAAATCACACTTTTCTATGTTAAACATTATCAACTTTACTTGCAGTTCCATTTGGTCCAACGGCAATGATTCCATCAATTATAGCACTGCTTAATGTTGTTATTCCCTTTACATTAAGTCCAAAAGTAGTATTCAACTCTTCACCCTCTATAACATCGTACACAGCCAAATGGAAGCCATGAACTGCAAAAATGAATGTTATATACGTGATGATTATTTGCACTTTGCCTATATTATAATAATTATGCCTTACCAATACAAGGATTGCATGTATCTACATCACCGTATGAGAGACCGTCATTCGTACCAACACAGCAGTCACGTTGATTTGCGGCCTCAATTACGGTCCCCGTGCAGTCTGTGCGGGTGTAGCACCGGAAAATTCCTGCAGAAAAGATGTACACAAGCGGCTCTGACACAGCTAAGATAAACTTAACTCCATCATTAAGGCACTGTTAGTATTGCCGCATAGTGTGCTTATCATCATGATGTTACACTATATACATCTTACTTACTATCATCATTGAGAATAATGACAGTGGACTCATTTCTAAGTGATGATATCCTGCCGAAAAACCCTGGAAACACTTCCAGAGAGAGTGAAAATGACTCATTTGCCTCCTGGAGCATATCATCGATGATCGATACGTTCACACATTGCCTCGATTCACATGCTGGAAGCGTTAGCAATTCCGTCCCCATACTAAAATCCGACACATTTTCTTGAAAGAAGACGGCGTAATCGTTATAGTCGGAGCACACAATATTGAGGACTTACGAGCAGAATCTTCAACTGCTGTGATGATGACAGTGAAAGGAACAGCAATGGGGCAGTCACTGATGGGACTCAGTACTACGACACACACCTCTACTCTTCCCTTCACTCTCTAATACCTCATACACCTCATGCTGTAGTCCTAAAGAAGCCGCTGAAAGGACAGCATTGCGTTTAGGACATAGCACACAGTGCTCTATAATTTATAGGCTTACAATCGTTATCAATAATGATGACTTCAGCTGTAGATCTATCAATGGGCACTGGTAAGAAGACTGACAGGTCCACTCTAAACCTCTCGTTTCCTTCCAGTGCAGTTCGTCATTAATGAGAGCAATGTTAATGCAACTCTCTGTTTCTCCAGGAAATAGGAATCCAATTGACTGCCCACTAACAAAATCAACACCTACAGATGCAACGTGTAAAGGGAATGTGTCAGGAAATGTAACTACAGATGACGCTTAATAATAGGGCCTAGTGCAAGAATGCTATTAGGCTTTCGTTTGGTGCATTCTATTTTATTTGCCAGTCGAGATACATTGTCTAACATCCCATAATGTGCGTGCATATATATTTTTACCAGCTGTAGCACTGCCCGTGTCAGTGGCTGTGATGATGAAGTCGAGAGGGATACTGAGAGTAAGACTGAGTGCTACACATACTTGAGCTACTCTCTCAACCTCTTCCCCGACATATGTCTCAGAAGAAAACGAAAGTGTGGGAACTGTTGGGTTATAACAGAGAGAATCATTAATAGTTAAAGTACTCGCGCGAGTACTCTATGGAAATTACTGGGCACTGGAAAGTTCAAGTAGGTCATGTAGCATGAGCATGAAGCGCGAGTGTTACATGAGCTTAGTGAAGTTTTCCCAAGCAAAATAATTTCCATAGAGTAATAGCAAAGACAGTACTTTAACTGGTTTGTAGTCCTTTGCCAAACTGTGCTCTATTTTCCTATCCGTTCTCTATTTTCCCCTATTTCCTAACTGTTCCATAACTCTATGTGGTCCTCTTCGTGTACTTTCCTCCCCAAGCCAAATAATTTTCATAGAGTATGAGCAAAGACAGTACTTTAATTTGCCAAATTGTTCTCTATAATTATTCCTAACTGTTCTCTATTTTCCCATAACTGTTCCCTAACTCTACATGTCCTACACCACCTAACCACGAATTATTATGATAGTTTGCTAAGCATCTACCGGATTTGTAGTACACTTTTTCCTTTGATGTTGTAAGGCTTTAGACTAATTGAACTCACCACACTCAGGTTCATTCATATCGTTGATAATCACTACTGCTCGTGATGGAGAGACGGTGGTACGTGGAGTTTGACTGGTCAGAGCAATGTTAACAAAGAACATCTCATTTGGAGTTTCACACAGCTCATCATCGGTAATAGGTAGAGCGACGCTGTTTCTTGTATCTCCGATGTTAAACTGTATGATCTGGTCACTCCCGACCCCAAAGTCGGTAGGAGAAACTGCAGTATACAAAAAGTTAGATCTCTCAGTGGTAAAATTGTTAGCTTTCATACCTGCAGTGCTGTTTTCGACAGTTACTAACAGAGAGAATTCCGATGGTGTTCCCCCAATAAGAGGACTATAGACCACAATATTGATCTCCACCAGCCCCTGCCTTTCACTGGTTGTGTACACAGTAGTTTCAAGTCCAACTGTCACTTCCTGCACCGATTCTAAAGAGGTGATTGTGGAAATAGATTATAACTCTTTGCAAGGTTTATGGGGAAGAGGTAACTGCCTATGAGCTTATAAAGCAACAGCTATCATAACATGAAAAGCACTACAGTGCAAACCCTCGGCGAACTGCGCATGCATGGTACCGCTAACTGATGAGCTAGTATGCGTTTACTCGTGGTGATCTCCGCTAGTAGCTCGCGGAGAGTCTGACACGGGCTAGCTACAGTAGTAGATAAAATGCGTGAGTCGATACACACGCCCTTCGCTGTGACTTCTTGTGCTTTCAAGATACACAGAGCAAGCGGGTCTGGTTGAGGTAAGCTGGTGCTATTTAGCATAAATGCGCATGCGCATTTTCCGCAGCGATAAAAATGGCCGACTACGCGCAATGCTGGAAGTGCTCTAGCTTTGCAATGGAGCATTTTCAGATAAAACCGCTAGAAATTTCTGACCTTCATTGCCCGTTAAGTAAGTCGTATCGTTTGTGAGACGAACGAACATTGGAGAATTGAGATGTTGAGTAACAGACACACGGACAGACAACTACCGTACCCTCGCTGCGCATGCGCGCCGAGGGTAACAATTTACAGGAAAGTAAGTTTAAACAGTACTGTTTGACAAAAGATGGAAAATCTATGTTAAAAATCTTGGGCACGATAGGTTACGCAGCACTTTCCTCAGCTAAACTCACTTGTGCATGACAATCCATCTCCAGAGTAGCCACTGTTGCACACACATTCATAGCTACCTTGAGTGTCACTACAGGTAGCATTGCCATCACAGATTTCAGTGGCAATCTCACACTCATTGATATCTGCTCATTTACAGATAATCATACTTTTGTGAAGTGATACCCTTCAACCTACTTGTACAGGTGAATCCACTCCCAGAGAATCCAGTGTTACATTCACAGATGTAGCTACCAGCAGCATTGGAGCATGTGGCATTAGAGTCACAAGGATCACTCAGGCATTCATCTACATCTGAAACACAAGGACATTCACATGTGCAAAACATACCAGTACACACATATTCTATCACTTCATCTTGATACCTACTGAACCATGAACACTGGTCGCTTCTGGAGGTGCTTATGCAAGTTCTATAAACAGAGCAGTTGCTCTTCCAAACCATCCATTGATGTCTACGCGAAGGACTATGTGACGCCCACACATTTCGCACTATTACTCTTTTGCATTTTCAGTTGGAACTATCTGATGCATGCTTCAGTTTCACTAACAAGGGCTATTGGTTAACATATCTATTACACACAACTTTCATTGTGGAGAATTCACATCACACACTGTGCACTTCCACAAACATGCCATGCAAATAGTTACCTACGCCTACTCATATCATGCATTGAAAATGAGCAATAAAAGTAGGTTTACAGATAATCACATTCACAGACTGGGACCACCCCCAGTGGAGGAATCTGCAGCTATGCTGGCCCTTTTGGATTTTTATGGATATGTATAGTGGATGGACTCATTTTAAAGCCTGCACAACATGAAGTATATAGACTGAGTTTATTATTGGTGCATAGCATATATACAGGATGTACTATTGTGAGTGGAAAACGACCATCTGGATGTCTCAATTTAGAATAGGCAGCACCATCACCAACGTAATCCAAATGCTAATAAAATCTCAAATACTGCACTCGCATGCACCGAGGGTAAAAGGTGTAGTTTCTTTACATAAATGTGGTGGCTTCACTGACTATTATGTGGGCAGGTGGTGCTCCCTCTAGTGAAAAATCACTTTCCTACACCTATTACATAGGGATAGGGGTTCAAATTATTGCCAAGCAACCAAGCCTACCTAGTCTCTGAGTGCAAGAGTGTCTACCTAATCAAAACAGGTAATCTAAGAGTAGATCAGCTGCCAGGGTTTCCTTCTTGACAACAATAGCAAACTCAAGCATGACTGCAGGGAAAGGGACAGCTATGTAAACATTGCCTGTGAGCACAAGGGCATAGTTGTAAACATTGCCGTGAGCACAAGGGCATAGTTGTAGCATTACTACACAACTGTGCCAACATATCCCATGTGGCACTTGGGCCCAAGCCAACAACTAATAATTCTATGTTTATAAATATGTGTGAAAAGTTGAACGCAATTGCTTGCACGTTGCGCAAGCAAGTGAAATGCTCCCGCTCTCTCGCCAAATGCATCACAATTGTGACGTCATAAAATTGGCGAACTGATATCACTTACCTAAGCAAACAGGGGGATCACTACTCCATTGACCATCTGGACCACATGTTGTTGTTTCTACTCCATCTAGTTTATAGCCGTCATTGCAGGTGTAAGTAGCTGTATCTCCCTCACAGTTACCTTCTGCTACCACCATACCATTGGCAGGACCAGTCAGGGTTGGACATATTGCTGGAGGTTTTTATGATGGAACCACGGGGTTTAGCTCTCGAAATTGTTATTTATTGCTAGGGTTGGGGCATAGTTGGCTAACCCTTCCCTTTCCTCAAGCCAACTTGCTGCCTAAATATTCCTATGAATAATGCCTTTTCCAGGTGCACATCTACTTACCTAAGCACTTAGGTTCCTCAGGACTCCATTGACCACCTGAACCACACGTTCTGTTTGATGCTCCATCTAGCTTATAGCCGTCATTGCAGGTGTAAATAGCTGCATCACCAGGAGAGGTTCCAGCAACCATCACCATACCATTGGCAGGATCAGTCAAATCAGGGCAACGTATATCTTGGGTGACTGCACAAAGATCATGATAAATATTTGTGGTTGTATGACTGGATTGCTAGACAAGAACTATCTCATCAGTTCATACCTCCACAAATGGTAATGGGAACTCGTGGTGTCAGGACAATAGCCGTCCTCACAGGAGAGACATTGAGGAAGAACGTCTCTTGAGGCTCCGTATCATCACTGTCTGCTGTAGTTTGGATGTCAAATGATATCACTGAATCCTGACGGGTTCCTCCTCTGTAGTTCAGAACATTGCCGGCAAAGAAGCTTGGTCGGTTCTCAGGTATGTTCAGTGCAGTGTAGTCGGCTGGAGCTGATAGGGTGCAAAGCAACGAGATAGCTGGTTACAAGTATATTTGCAGTTCCACTAACCCACAGCAGATCCATCTTCAGTGCTGACTCGAATCCTGCTCTGTTGAGTTTGGTCCAGAGATCTGGTACAGGTGACAGTGACTGAACTTCCCTCCACCACACAGTCGTCAGGCACAGTACAACTGATGATTGTACCTGCACAAATGCACCAACTTCAACACTGCACAACAAACACACCACCTCCAAAATGCCTAATGTCCCCTAAACATGCAATAAACTAACCAGAAATTGGTTGGAGTTCCATTCCACCAGCTATGGCGTAGGAATTTTGAATACTGAAGCCATAGGTGTGAACAAAAATGGCCGTATTGGCATCAGCATGGAAGAGCGAATGGTACTGATTGTCAAAGTCCTTTGTAATGCCATATCCACATATCTCTCCAGTGCTACAGTAGATGGCGTGCCACTTTGTAGCATTAAGCTCCAATGGGGCATTGTCCAACATAATTCTGTCCGTTTGAAAGTATCTTGCTGGAACAGAAACACTGAAGAAATGATTGACAATAGGTCCAGATGAAATGTTGACTGGAACAAGATGGTAAAGGCGTAAATACTGAACTATTGGAGGAATGACACTCATGAAGGGATCTCCAAACTCTCCTCCATTGCATGTTGCATCCCTTGAGTAACCATAGCTGTACTGAGCTAGTACGACAGGATTGGAGGATTCCAAGCAGCAATATTTTGGAGCATACGGGTCAGAACAAGCTTCTGAGTGAGTTTCAAACTGTCCCCAGTTAGGATTCTGAGCAGAATTCAGAGTAGCTGTATAATCTACTGCTGAAGTACTGCTTCCAGCATTCACACATGTGATGGTAACGTTAGTGTTGTCCTGGAGGGTCGCAAAACGATACAAGTCTCCACTTCGTCTTCCACTGAGAGGGTTTAGCAGGAACGTTTAGCCCCATGTTGTGTGTGGAGGTATCTGAGCTGCCATATGGTCGCATGCTGTAACTCTCTCAGTAACTTGTCCACACTGATGACCAGAAATTACTACCAATGGCTTGTTTCCCTTTACCACAGTCCCGGTAAGGTCTTGGTTTGTTATTGAGATTAAGAGCGTCTGGTGTGCAGGTATTAGGTTGTTGTCTGTGTTGACTCGCCAGTTTGATGATGCTTGCGATGTTCCTGGACCAAATAGAGGGTGTTGAAAGACGCCACTTCCACTGATTGAAGTTGATGGGGCTACTTCAACCTCCGTGTCATCATCACAAGTAATGACAAGAAACTGGCTGGATCTTGGTGTGCTTCCTGGCTGGTCTGTCGTGTCTTGATTAGTGGAGAGAATGAGATATTCATATGTGCGAAAATCTGACGGTACAGTCATTGAATCACATGGGAGAGCAACAAATCCGTCAGTAGAGCGCAATTCATCGTTGATAACTTGGATGGCTATTTTCTTGTTGTTTGTCGTTTGTACCCAAATAGCTTTATCCCTCTCCTGAATATTGGTCACATAGACATCATCAGCTGGAAAGTTGACTCGTGTCGGTGCAGTTGAGTCCACTGTATATGTGCTGGAGCTTTGCACACCACCAAACATGGTTGTCACATCAAACTCCACCACTCCAGTCTCATTGGTCGTCACCAGTAGGTATGCATCAGGCACAGTGTTCCCTACAGTTCTTGGGAGAACATTTTGCATAAATCCTACCAGGAACTTTGTTCCCATAGATCCTGGAGTAGATAGTTCTGCGGAATCAACGATGTAAAAATTGTTAGCTCACATGTGAGCTTTCAAGTTTAGCTTTCATGAAAGACAAAGACCTGGTCAAGCCTAGAAGCCATAAATTGCGAGTATCTAGCTAACTATATCTCCGTCACTGTTTCTCCGAGTGTAGCTAGCGCACGACCATGCGTAGCTATATAGGCTACAAAATTGCCGTACCTGCTGGAACAAACTGTTGTTCGATCTCCCTGATCGCACCACAAGCAGCAAATAACAGTGAAACCAGCAACAAAGCGTTATGTTGTAAATGGCTCATCTTCTTCTGACGCAGCGATCTCAGCACGCTCAGAGACAAATTTGACAATGTGAAAAAAGCACTGGTAGTACAACACTCGGACGCAATGTCGACGCGCAGCGACGTAAGTAAAGGATGTGCGATACACTAATGATTGGGCTGCGGTTAGTGTTAGCGACGTAGAGAGATCGAGCACACACAGACCCAACGACCGCACCCTCGCCGCGCATGCGCGACGAGGGTAAATTACGTCATTCCTGTTGCTGTGCACGTTCAATGTGAAGGTTTTGGGGCATACACTGGATAATCCTACTGTAGCCTCCGTGTCAACCTACCCCTAATATACAACACACACACACACAGGTGACACGATTAGGCATTCAACACATTAGCGCTATTGTTTGAGCTCTAAATGGACAGAGTGATAGTGCATCTGCGTGAAGTGTGGGACCTTGTGAAATAGCTATTTGCTCTGGAGGTAATTATTGTACTCCTTGGGTTATCAGGGCATCTACTATGTACACAACTGCTTGTTTGATCACTGATGATTACTACAAAGTAACTAAGCCCTGTAAAAACACACAACTTTAACCTGGCAGAGGGATGTGTGTGTGTGTGTTTGTGATTGGGGAAAGAAGAGAGAGAGGTAAAGTGTACGGCAGGACTAAAGCTAACGAGAGAGGGCGGGCGGCTTGTCGGCGTCACCGCATGCAGCCAGCCCAGGTGCTTAAACGTACATTAAACCTATCCACAAGTCCAGCAACATACAGGTGCAGTGCTAGGCTCTTTGTTACTGGTCATCGGGGAGTTCCCAATCTTTCACCATGTCACACGCGTTTTCGGCCTCTTTAAACTCCCGACACGTGAGACACTCCAGAAAGGGCGAGGCCACTCCACCTGGTTGGAGTCCAGATTTGCCTACTACATGGCTACAATTATGTACTTACAAACTAACCTACATTACATAAAGGCAATTTAATATAGCAGCTACGTTCCTTAGTAATAACTTGCTTCATCTTTGGTCTTCTCTATTCTTCACTTCTTCTTCTTCACTCTTGCTCCTAACTGAGCTGCTACACAGGCTGTTTTATACCTTGTTGTGGATGTTATGTCTACTAAAGTCACAAACACTGTCCCATGCGTTAATTAGAGAGGAGAGAGAGAGAGAGAGAGAGAGAGAGAGGAGAGAGTGTGTGTGTGTGGTGTGTGTGTGTGTTGTTTGGGTATTGGGGGAAGAAAAGGAAGATAGTCCTAGATTGTGGGAGCGTGTGCCAACCTCACCGCGTGTGGCTGCCTAGTGGTCCAAGGTGTATGCATCATTAACTGTTGACTCACTTCTACTCTACTTGGGGACTTATATTGGGCAATATTGAGCTATTATTCTACTCTATAGTTTCTGTGCATATTATACATTTGTAAAGGCCCTAAGTATGGAAGTAATAGGGACATGGAGAGGCGGAACAGTATGTGTGTGTGTATATACTACGATACAGCACAGAGTAGACATGGATGCCCAGCCTTGAGAACTGGGATGGTGGGTAAAGATTTTGTGCTAGCTCAACTCTCCCCACACATCCAATGTCACAGACTCTTATGTAAATCCACACATTTTACAGTACTGTATTGAAGTAGTTACAATCACTACCTTAATTCTCTGTGGGACTTGCAATCCTATGGTTCACAGTGTGGGTATTTAGTAGGGAGTTGTGTATGGATTTCCTAAGGAGAAGTGGGTGTGTTACTCTATGTCCTGGGTGATGTATTTTAACTCTAGTGATACTTACAAACAAGTGTAAATAGGTGTGTGTGTGTGTGTGTGTTTGTGTCAGGCTCGACATACTTCGTGAAGCCGCTGGTAGCGCTAATAGGCAGCCTCGTATCCTGTAGTGCTAGAATAGGCGGTTCCGATACACTCACAGAGAGACAGACGACAGAACAACCAACTACCGTTAACCCTCGCTGTGCATGCCGTGCGAGGGTTAATAAGGATCCATTGCCGTCAGGTTTGATTGTTGACTCTATACTTATTGCACAAGCAGTATACTGGGATCTCGGGAAGGGCCCCACGTGCCATCACTGGCACACGTGACTTGTTGGTTCCGCCGATACGGCTTGCATTCTCGGCACACATGCAACACACAAAAGTGGATGCCACCCAGAGTGCGGAGCAGGAGTATCTGGATACAAGACCAGTCCAAGACCTGAATAGGTCTACCGTTGTTTCGAAACACTCTCAATCCCAGTTAGAGCTATGCATGATCCAGTGTCGCTGGAGATAGGCTATGTAGAATCCAGTAAAAAGATGACGGAGAGTGAAAAGGTTGTACGTATTAGTAGTATGTTACATGAGACGATGGTCCAAACGGTGCTGCAAACTGGACATCAATTTTCATTCCAGTGTTCCTAAATCCACTATCCTCAGTACTGGGGAGTTGAAGTGAGGATGTGCGTTTCGTCGTGTAGTGCACGTTGAATCTTGTCTACAGTCCCTGTCGCTCCTGCAGCTCTGCACTCGCGTAATGTTGCCACACCACATACTAATTTAATGGAGGTGACATCACCTAGCCAGACAATGCTACTAACGCTCTGTGTGCTATGTGTTGAGTAAACAACCAGTTGTCCTGTGTACTAATCACTCCGTTTCGCTCCATTTCTCCATCCACAAACCTCTAGACGTGAAACCGACATATCAGCTCGCCTTGCTGGCCACTGGAATGTGGGGAGATAAACAATAATAGCACATTACAAAAAGCAACGAAAGTTTAAAGTTTACGTCAGTTGGGGTGAGGGTCTCAGAGGAGCGTATCATTTCCATCAAGCTGAGTCATCTTCCAGACTGCAGAAGCTATGGGACACCCACATGCCCCAGTTCCATTTCCTGGTAGGAGAGTTCTCGTAGTTGTAGCTGTCGCATCAGGTCCTCTGATGACGTGATACGGCGGAGGATTGGAGTCGGTCCGTGGGGCAGTCGTGCGTCCTCATCTCCTGTAGCCTGGCTCTGACACTGACTCACAGAATCAATACTACGAACACAATAACCTGAAAGTGAGAAGAGACTAAGATGATATATCTGCTCGATGAAAATGCATGACAGCTAACATGCTGCTCTGTCTGCTGATCCATCTTGCAAACAAGTGAGCCATGGTTACAGCCCACGGATGGCCATTTTCTCTATTTGTCACATTATTCGTCCTTATATATACCGATGCCAAAATACTCACAGCTACCAATCGTTGTGTTAGCAACCAACCTGCGAGCAAAATCTCATTCAGAACTTAACCTCAACAAAAGCAACACATACACTTGTTAATTGAAGTGAGATCCTCCAAGCTGATAAGGGCACTCACAAGTTGCATTCAGGTTTTCTGGTCAGAGCCGCTTTCAAGTCAATGAGGCTCGTTTAAGCATACTCATAATGTCATAGTACACTTAGTAATAGATGAACACCATGACGCACAAAATCCATCGTGGAGACATCAGCAGTGTCAAGCAACACTGCGCAGTAATAATGACCAAAACTAAACTGCGTTCTCTGAATTGGGGTGCGGGTGGCAGACTACCAGAAACTGGATACCACTGGGAGTGGCTAAAGTCCACGAGTGTATGCATTGGCAACACCCAGTAGCATACAACCTACCAAATTGGGCTATATAATATAGCTACCAACTATAGTCTGCACACTACTACTCTCTCTGGAGGTATGTTACTCTTGTAGTGAGCTTCTTTAGCGTATAGTTCTACTCTGTGTGGCACAGAGAGTATTGTACATTTAGCACACATCCAGCCACATGTTTGTATCTATATGCCAAACCTAACTTGGGTAACCATTGTAGGAAACACTATAGCTACACCCTGTAAGGTCTATGGAATTTGCTTCAGTCAGCATCCTGCAGTCGGCCAGTCATGACGGCTTTTTGTTTTCGGTGCCAGCGACCCTGCTTCACTTAGCCATTATCACGTAGACATTGACCACACACTACTCTATAGCTAATGCAATATGTACAGCTACAATACAGCTTGCTTCATTAGCTAAGCACCACATTTTTATTGGCTTTCGTCTGAAAATGATTATTCATGAAGGGGGATGTATGAATGTCACGTCATGGAAAAGCTAAACACCCCGAAAGAGAGTTCATATACCCATCCCTATAGCTATCTTTGTTTATCAAGATCCTAGTTTTTTTTCTGCTCTGTAAATACTACATTTCACAGAATATAGCTAGCTAGAAATGGTCCTATGAATGCCGTATTGCTTTGGTGTAGGCGTATTCTCATTTTATGATTTGAATACCCTTGAATCCCCTTTAATTCAGAAAATTATTAGCTACTTTCTTACCGCCGCTTTACTCTTCATACCTCGCTGTACTTAGTCACAACAGCCAAATTTAAACGCAGCGTGTATATTATACGTGTGCGTATATACGCTACCTAAGACACCACCCTAAACTCGTCATCGTGCGCGGCACATTATTTCTATGGTTCCTCGCAGTGAGTATCTTTTGAAGATATGTTGCTCTTGTGCACAGCATCTTTTGGTGTACTCTGTGCCACTGAAAATACTGTAGTAACTGTACACAGGACACACAGCCCTTTTGTGTTGCATCCAGCCATCTGATGTTTGATGGCTATCTACCTCTCCTTATGAGCGCTGGCATGGCGCGGAACGCATTGTGATCCGCGTTTAAACTCTGTAAAAACGCCTTTGGCAAGCGGTTTCCAATACTTCAGAGAACCCCTGCTGACCCAGTACTCCCCATGCACACCAACGCCCTGCCATTTCAGTCGGCAGTTATAAACACACATTTACGTTAGGATAGTAAGCCTACAGTTTCCACTAGTCTAGGTTCACTACACTAGTCTAGGTTCACTACACTAGTCTAAGTTCACTACACTAGTCTAGGTTCACTATATACACTCCAGTTAGATTGTGACCACTATCTTAGCAGTGGCACTGTCACTTTGCTGATTATAGGCATAAATCTTCAGAACGTACTCTCCAGGGCTCAGGTCAGTAAAGGACACTCTGCCAGAAGAACCTAAGGACATGCATAAAAATGGAAGTACGTGTTATGAAGAACTTATCCTTACAGTCTTTGTAGTCATTTTTGTTCTCATATCTGAGGAAGCACCTCACTCCAGTCACTGGTCTGGTGGTTACAAACTCTGCCTCCACAGAGCTCTCAGTCACACGAGGTGAATCACCAGTTAGAATGACCTCCAAGTGTGGTAAGAATGCTGAAAATAGGTGAGAACCACTGTGTTTCTTTGGCCACCATTGAGTACAAAGTTATCCTTACCAGTAACTGGATCAGCAGTAGTGATGCTATATGATACAGTCCTTTCTTCTCTAGTGCTGCTTAAAATCCTCACAGAATGATTACCAGGAGGACTGACAATTATACTCAGTACCATAGGTACATTGCCTGCATTAACACACACTTATCCGATCAACACACTGCCCCTATTATAACCTACACGAGTGAAACTGTCCTCCATTAAAAGAACACAGCAAAGAAGACCCAGGTTGATTACCAGTGCAGTCAATCACCGTAACTTCAGGAACACCTCTAGCAGTACACAAGAAATCTGGAGCAAAAGAGTACAATAATAATGAAAGTGCAAACCATCGGCGAACTGCGCTTGCGCGGTACCGCTAATTGATGGGTTGGGCTGTTATATTTGCTTTTCACGCCATAACTTTGAACGCAGATCAACTATATATTCGCCACCTTGACGCAACGTTAGCGCAACCGGTACACAATATTACGCAACGTTCTGACTTACAGATTCTTTTGCCGGTTTTGTTGTCTCGCGTAGTCGCAGAAAACGTGGTAGCTAGCTAATAGACAGACAGACAGACAGACACACTTACAAACCAAGTACCGAGCCGAGGGTTGAAAAAAAGTTCAAAGGCATGAAATGCTATTAATAAGAAGGGTGTGTGTTCGACTTTTAAGAAGGTTTTTCAATAGTCATGTCATTTTTCCTCTTGATAAAACGTTGGTTAAACAACTATATACCCCCCCACCTCCCCCCACACACTTAGGTATTTAAGTGAGTATAGCTACACTTCAAGTGTGTCAACTAAACTTACCTCTAGTACCAGTATTAGTGGTTATCACACTCCTTCCATCAACTGGGTCTAATTCAATCCTGGAATCCAAGTTTGCAGTTCTTACCAGATGGTAGGTGAAAAACTCATTCTCCTCACATACGACCATCGTCGATTATTCTGACACCCACACATTTTCGAAACTCACAAGCATTAAAAGTCATAATTGTATTAACTGCCGAATAATCTGTTTCATCTATAGGGAACAGAGTAATAATAATAAAGCAGTTTCGATAAATAATCGTAAAAAACTACTTTTTTTACCTGCAGTTCCAGCAGTAGTGGAGAGTCTAACTTCAAAGGGAAATGAAATTGGACATGAAATAGGAGGGAATAATACAACGGCACACAATTCAACAACACCAACATCTTCTGAAACACTCATTGATGTCTGTTCCAGACCAACTATGGCCCCTGCAAGATTGATAAATTGGAATGTATAATACTTAGTAAGTAGTTGGTTACAGCTCACTGTCATTGTCCAGGATTAAAATAGAGGACTGGTCATACACATCCTTTACAAACGTCAAAACTGTAGTCTGTTGATTATATTCTACTCCCAATGTGAGGCCTGCATATTCATTCATCTCCAAACGAAGATCATCATATATAGTCTGATTGTAACAGATGATTTTTCTAAATTCATGAATCAGAAAATCATCAGTGGCATTTACAGCTATTATCTGCTGAGCATAGTCAGATCCTGGTATCATTGAATATTGACTTAGATGATCAGGTGGATCAGGGGCTGGTAGTGATACAAGTGGAAAAATCATTTCTTCAGAATGAAGGGAGATGTAGGGATGGCTTGAAGCACCAAAAAGGAAGAAATGAAAAACACTAAAGTGCAAACCCTCGGCGCTAAACGCGCGAGTTGTAATGCTGGCGGACGACGGAGCCAGTAACACGAGTCTCCCCATAACACAGGGTAGTTGGTTAGAGCAATTGCTCAGGTCCTTCAGAGGTTCTCATAATTATTTGCTTTATTCAATCTATCTGCTCTTCTGTGCTCCAATGCTCTCGCCAGATGGGAAGGCATGGCTGCATCCACAAACTGCTCGCCACCTGAACTATTATGCTACATTGCGAATACACCTTGCTCAGCGATGTTTATCCAAGAGAAGCCTGTGGATCATACAACACTGTGGCGTAGCGCATGCTCCGGCGAGTGATAGTGACGCGTGCGCAGTGCCGGAGAGCGTCGCGATCTACTCGACCGCACATGCTTGATTTTCACGCCATAATCTCTGGAACGCAGTCGTTTCAGGAATCCGCCCAACGTACATATCCATCTCATCTCCTCTGTTGTTCACACGACCCGTTGTGCACTCGATTGCCGCCCCGTAGCCCTGTCGTGCGAGAAACCTCGCGCGAAGAGACCAGACAGACAGACAACTCACGTACAGTAACCTCGCTGCGCGATGCGCGCGCGGGTTAACAAGGGTCCTTCATTACAACACACAGCAAAAAGAACATAACATGACGCCATATCTACATTATCTTTGTTCAAAAATTTAAATTTGCTTATAAATAGATATATTCATGTAGCTTTGTGCATCTTTGCTGTGTAATGACCCCTTGTTAACCCTCGGCGCGTTAACCCTCGGCGCGCATGCGCAGCGAGGGTTACGGTAGTTGTCCCGTAAGTGTGTCTGTCTGTCAGTCAGTCTGTCTGTCTGTCAGTCTGTCTGTCTGTCAGTCTGTCTGTCTGTTACCACGTTTTCTGCCACCGCGCGCACGAAATCAGGTAAATAACGATATGATCGGGTTCAGTGCTACACTGGGTTGATTTAAAAAAAGTGCGATTTTCGTAAAACTACTGTGTTTTAAAGTTATGGCGTGAAAACCAAGTGAACAAGCCAATATGTAAATTAGCACAGGCTTACCTCGACCGCGTCCGTTCGCTCTGTGTGTCTTGAAGGCACATCAAGTCACAACGAAGGGCATGTATCGACTCCCGCATGCTATTTACTACTATAGCTAGCCCGTGCCAGACTCTCCGCGAGCTACTAGCGGGATACCACGAGTAAAGGCATAAAAAGCCCAGCCCATCAATTAGTGGTACCGCACATGCGCAGTTCGCCGAGGGTTTGCACTTTAGTGCTTTTCATTTCTTCCTTTTTGGTGCTTCAAGCCATCCCTATATCCCCCTTCATTGTTTCCACTATTATTAACAGCTTATGACAACACTGCATTTTATTGTTACAGTCACTCTGCATGTTGTAGATACCAGACAAACTCTAACTGTTGAAAGCAGGGACAAAACAATGAAGGCCCATTTGAGCGCTCCGCAAGGCTCGCGTAACACAGTGCAGACTCTGCCAAGTTGCTCCTCGTGTAAATCAACAGAGAGCTAGCCAGTTGGAAGTGTGCACACTTACTTACAGAAGGCACTGGAGGAGGCTGAGAGTTCCCCTGCTGGTCAGTCAACTCGCCTGGTAATACGCGCGCACAGCGCATTGGACAACGCCCCTGCCTGTCGCATGCGCGCGGCTCACTGATGCTGAGTTAGCAGGCGTTGTTCAGTGTCGATCATGGAAGAGCTCCATGATCTACCGTAGTGACTTGCGGCGAGAAAGAAACGAACGCTTGATGTCCGTGCACACCTCCGCGAAATTGGAGACCTTCAGTGAAAAAATCAGCGCTTCAACTGGTACTGGTAAGGGAATAGCGGGTTTAAAGAAGAAGAAGATGAAGAATATGATGATACGAAAATCGTGAAATCGTTTGAGCGAATTCTCGCGTGGACGACTGAAGGTGCGTATGAGGTCTTAAGGAACATGTATAGGTAGATATGGGCCTGTAGACTGTTGCTAGTTTGTGTGAAGGCCTAGGGAGTCATTCTCACTGAGCTTTTAGTTGTTTTGTACGCGGGATTTCACCCGTGCCATCCCTATATAGAGTCTCTAATGAAGAGGAAAATAATTCTTGTACAGTGCATTACTATAAGTACTAACTTGCTAGTGGAGCATCAGCAGGGATGTAGACTGAACTGGGGTTATCAATGACAAACACATTGACAGTCTCATCAAGAATGTCAACTTCTCGTTGTCGAGTGAGATTGACACACACATTCACTGCACCAATACTCTCATCAATAGTGTAGTTGTCTTCACAAATGCAACTTCAAATGCCATCATCAATAATCAAGCATTCACATGATCATTAATACATTTTTAACAGGTATATTGCTATAGACATTGGCAAAGAACTCACCATCATCATCTTCTATGCAGATGGTGTGTTCACAGAAATAATTGTCTGCACCTACTCCATCTTCATTGCATTTAAACAGGTCACGGCGACCAGGAACATCAACAGGGAATATACGTATAGTATAACATTCTAGGTCCTCAGGAAAAAGTCCCTTCTAATAGCTGTTAGCAGTGGAGGTAGCACTGTCAGCAATCCTGGTTCTAGGTCCCTTGTCTCTTCAATGGGGTCATCTGGGTTTGCTCTGAGACCAAATGTGGCGTCATAGTATGAGCCAGATGGTGAAAGTGTGTCTATCTGTGGCATTGGTGATGATTCTTGAAGAAGGAATCTCATTGGATGCTCCCTCTCAGCAGTCCTTGTAGCTTCTACATTTATTTCAAGCTGGAATAGTCCACCCGACGTACTTGACCTTCATATACAGTCCGAATTCTATCAGTGAATCCAATGATCATGGCTAAAAGGCGAACAACAATAGAGCTCTTTCTATACAGACACTAGAGACTAGCTACAAACTCACGATCATTATCAGTTATCTTTATCTCAACAGCTCCTCGACGTCCACGACAACCTGTGTCTCCAGCTGCTATCTGGAAGCAACTGACTCCATCAGGAACGTCAGAGCCTATCTCTGCAAATATTGCAAAGCTCTGTTGATCTTCATCAATATTGTCATCAACAATGGTGAAAAACTGTGGGATTACATATGTTTGACTGTTGGCAGGAATTGTAAACGACGTCGGACGATTGGAGAAATCTGTACCTGTAGTGAATATAAGCGATAAAAGAAAAGAGGAAATGAGAATAGGACACAAGGAACCTCATGGCAAGCACATAAGAACGGTTATAGGCTACAAACAAATTCTAATCAGTAATAACTAGATAATTAGTGGACACTTATAGTAGGTTGGAATTGTAGATTTCATATAGTAATCTGCAGTGTGCATGGGTAATGGATGGATGTCTACTGGATACATCGAGGGATCCTTACATGCACTAGCTACCACACATCTTTAAACTCTTTATAGTAGACTCTGAACAATGTGCAAACTTGTTATATTTTGCTGATCAAGGAAAAATGGAGCTTAAGAGAGATATAATAGGTGTCACTACTGTTTATACTCGTACATGCTGACGTTCTTCGCTCTGTTAAATGTTATGATTTAGTAAAAGCTCTCTTAAAGATAAAAATGTAGTCCACAGACCTGCAGTTGCCCTGGAGCCTGGAAGAATAGCTGAATGTGTTAATGAAAACACCAAGTCCCAGTGCTTCCACCGTATCAACAGATGATGGTGTCAGAGTGACAGTGAATGGGTTCTGGTTTGTTATAAACTGAAGTCTGATTGGTGGTTCCAGAGATGTGGAGCCTTCTTCAATCTTTGAGTAATCACAACCTTCAACATCAAAATTTATCTGCAGCTCTGAAAAGGGATTGTAGATTAGAGTACATGATATGTAAGGTGTATAATTCTTACTGTCAGTGTCATTAATATTGACAATGGAAGTGTCTCTGATGTACTCTCCGAAATCTTCAAGACCAGGAACAAGAGCAGGATTTGAAGAGGTGAATGTAAGTTGTACTCTGTCCTCATATTCCAGTGTAATGAAGTCATCAAGAGCTGAAATACTTATAACTCCTTGGTTTGTTAGTTGTATTGGAAAGAACTGTTCAAAGTCAGAAGAACCTATAAGAGGTGTAAGTATAACCATAAGAGGTAGCTATACTGCAATATAACTTACTAGCAGTGCCATCAGCTGCTGCTGACACTATTCCTGACAAGACAAGAGCAGATCCAAACTGTGTTAATCCTTTCACATTCATCTGGAATGAAATGTCTACTCTCTACCCCTCTTCTACACTTGAGCGTGCAGTTGAAAATCCATGAACTAGAATAATTGCAATTAATATGCATTTCGTAGCATTGATTTAATGCCCACCTACACAAGCAGTACAGCTGCCACCATTAGAAAATGATAGTCCATCATCTGTCCCCACACAGCAGTCTCTTGCACTGACCGCTGCAATGGTACTCCCAGTGCAGCTACTGCTACTGTAGCACTGAGAGAATCCCGGTACTTGCCGCGTAGCCAGAGTGTGCGCCTGGTACTTAGTCTCATTGGTGACTGACTTTGGCTTGATGATGTGAGTAAAGGCATTACTGCCACCCACTACAGATCGCTTTCCTGCTCCTAAATACATGTCCATTTTTATTTAAAAGTATGTATATACACGAATTGAACAAACCATCATTATCAAGGATCAAAATAGCTGCTTGGTCATACATTGGTCGAACTTGTGTGAAGGTTGACGCCTCAGATACACTCAGTGTGAGACCAAAATACTCTGATCCCTCTACCAATGCATCATCATATATTGTCTGGTTGTAACAGACTATTCTGCTCAGTTCACTTATAAGATGATCATCGATAGAATTATACACTCGTGTTTGCTGTGCATAATCCGTGCCTTGAGCCATGGAATAAAGGCCAAGAAAGTTGGGAGAATCTGGAGCTGGAGACATTAATTCGAAGGATTACAAGACTCATACGATAGTTAATGAATAGGAAAGCTATCTTACTTGCAAGAGCAGCTCCTGCAGGAATATAGACTGAGCTGGAATAATCAACCACTGACACCCGCACAGTTTCTTCAAGGATGTCAGTCACAGGACGGGTGAGTTGGACACAAACCTCCACTGAGCCAGCATTCTCCAGAACAGTGTATGTTGTTTGCACAAATCCAACCATAAAGAGTTCTGTAAGGATGCATCTTGACCACTAAAACATGTGACAGCAAAAAATACATACCATCATCATCTTCAATGCAGACAGTATGTTCACAGAAGAAATTAGTTGAACTATCACCAGCATTACATGTCACTAGTGGCTCTCTTGCACCAGGTGTTGCATAGAAATATAATTGCAGTGTAAAGCATTCCTCTGGCTCAATTCGAAAGTCCTGAACAATAAAAGCAGATACTCGTTGAAGTGTGGTTTGGCCTGGATTGAGGTCAAACAATAGTTGCAATGGATCACGATGGAGATTTCGGAGACCAAACAGAGCATCAGAGATAATATTTTCTCCAATCAATGGTCCTACAACTGCAGTTGAGAGCTGCTCATTGTGCCGGATTGTAATTCCGTGCAACCTCTCAGAAACTCTCACGGAAGCCACTTGTATGTCAATGGGGTATAAGTCAGTTGCAGCACCACTACTCTCTGGGACAGTCCTGCTCCGCTGAGTGAATCCAATGATCATAGCTATATATAAGTCAGTAAACATGTCTTTCAGACACATGAAAAATAATGATGTATGGCTAATAGCATTACAGTGTTATTGGATAACCAACAAGGCTGACTTTCCTTGCTAATTATAATGCTTACGGTCATTGTCTTTGATAATGATTCTTGTAGCTCCATGACGACCAAAGCATTCAGTCCTTTCTGCAGCCAACAGAAAACAGCCCTGATCCAATTGAAACATCTGCTCCAATCTCAACAGCAAGAACGAAGATCTGGTCCATCTCATTGATATTGTCATCAACAACACGAAAGAATTCAGGAAATTGAAATGTTTGAATCCCAATGTTTGGATTGGCAGGAACAGTAACAGTTCTAGTGGACACGGTAAAATCAGCAGCTGAAAATAAAACAATGACCGTTAATACTGTACGTGAAAGATGCACTTAATTTTCAATTACAAATGCAAAATTACTGTACATACTTGCTGTAGCTCTAGAAGAATTTGAAATTGTGTCAGAGCCAATGAAGTTTCCCACACCAATACTTTCTGCACTGCTCACTGACATTGTTCTCAGTATGAGTGTAAATGGGTTTTGAACTGGTCCATAGTAGTGCACACGAAGAGGCCTTGACAAGCGAGATCCCTCTGTAACTTGGTAGTCACAGTCCTCAAAGAATAACTGCAGAACTGTACAAAGTGCGGCATGGTGTGACACTCTCACCATTCGACTTTGTAGCCTAGAAATGAAAGCTTCCGACATGCAGTCGTAGCACACGCAACCGTCGAGATTCCACCTCACTGGACGGTTTTTGTACGGATCTTAATGTAAGCTTGCCCTCAAACGAGGCTCCGGCGATTGGCTAAGTAAACAACGGCCGTGAGCGCCTGTGGTGTGTGTGTGACTAGTAGGCCGTATAAGTACATGCGTGTGAACACAAGTGTCGTTAATTGCCCGTATACTACTCGCGACAAGGCTAAGCTAAGTGAACTGGCGCTCGGCAACCTCGTTTTGTCGCAGATAAAGTTGTTGCTTTTTTGTGACTTGTTTCTCTAGGCTCTAGCCAATTCCCGCTTGCCTGACGCTCGCGACGGGAAAGAAGAGGGAATTACGATCAACAGATATAGGTATATATAGTGTCAGGTTGATTTGTGTGTCTTAGCTGTGAAATGACCTCTTGTTCTTTGCTTTGAGCCATCCCTACATCCCCCTTCATTTTAATTAAAGAAATGATTTTTCCACTTGTTACCTATAGGAATGCAACGTGAGGAATGCAACGCGAGGGAGCGGGAGCGCGATGCGAGATTTTGCGTGTGTTTTGAGTAGAGACCGTTGCAATTAACCCTCGGCGCGCATGCGCAGATACGGTTACGGTAGTTGGTTTGTCTGTCTAGTCTGTGTGTGTCGACGCTTATTCTGGCACTACAGGCTACGAGGCGGCCAATTAGCCCACTAATTCACAAGTTTTTATTTTACAAAGGCCAAAAAAGTAGACGATAAGCTTACAATATGCAAGCAAAAAAACAACAACAAAAAACAAACAAACAACAACAAAAAACCAACAGAAGATAAAAGAAAAACAAAGAAAAGCGCAATTACAATATCTCCGCAAATTAGCGATACCAGCGCCTTCAGAACTACGCGAGCGTGAAAACTAAAAGGGCGTTTTTCTTGAAACGACTGCGTTAGAGAGATATGCCGTGAAAACAAGCCAAAAAGCCAATTGCATAATCGCATTGCGACCTGATCTGCTCGCTCTGTGTACCCTGGAGGCTCACGACCTATCTACTACCGTAGCTAGCCCGTGTCAGATTCTCCGCGCGCTACTATAGGCCACGAGTAAACGCAATAACGTATAGCCCAGCCCATGTATCGCGCATGCGCAGTTCGGCGAGGGTTTACACTTTAGTGCTTTAAGGACTAGGATGGGCTAGTTCCGCTCTCCAATTAGCTACTACTGCGCTCGCACCACTCCCCGACGGCCCACTTAGTCACTTGCGTGTCATTATAAATGAGTTTCTGTTCGTCGCACCAGCTACGTAAAATCCAAGATCTGCATGCGTAAAGCTAAAAGCGAAACAAAATTAACAGCGCTTACCGTCACTGTCGTTTATGTGTACTGTTGCAGTGTCTCTGACATACTCTCCATTAGCCTCCAGACCAGGAATAAGAGCAGCATTGTCAGGAATTAACCTCAGAAAAACTCGATCGTCATACTCAAGACTAATAGCATCTTTGGGAGCGAACAGACGAATTTCTGCGCTGTTAGTGACACGGATAGGCTGCAGCCTTTCAAAGTCCGAACCACCTTCATCAAAAGAAGGCAAAATAACGAGATGCCGCCTTCCTAGATAAAGAGCACAAAGCCTTACTTGCATTGCCATCTGGAGTAGCTGTAATGAGACCAGTGACAACAAGAGCATCACCAAACTGTGTTGTTCCCTTCACATTGAGTTTAAAACTAGTATCCAGTCGGTCACCCTCTGAAACACTATATGCAACCCGAACAAAACCATGTACTGCAGGATTAAATAAATAATTACAATATCACCGCCAATAACTGTGTAGCTAATATATACCTATGCACAGATTGCAGCTGGTCACATCATTGTAAGAAAGACCATTGTCAGTTCCCACACAGCAGGCTCGTTGATCTGTTGCAGCAATAGCAGTCCCTGCACACGCAGAATCTGTATAACATTGAGAAAAACCTCGTCCTATCAGCAGCAAAACAATAAGCACTGCTGAAAACATAGCTAGCTGCGTTGAGCTCTCCCTGCAGCTTTTGCTAACAGATAAAACTGCAGCCTGTGCAATGGAGGCGACCAGCTGGACTGAGACAACATTACTCTGGGTTCAATGCCTTGTATGTAAGTGGCTACAACCCGCCATCAAAGCAAGCTTACACAGCATGTGTATGGTTTGTAGGAAACCACACTCCTTTTATGATCCTTAGCCAAGCATTGCCATGAGTGTTGTGGAACCTAGAGGGGTAGCATGCATAGCACGAACCAAATAAACGTAGCCTAGAAAGGGGGCCTACCTATAGTCGTTTGAACGAGGTGTGACTTGAGGTATATCTATGCACCGCTGGCCGCGCCCATTTTCTTTTTCTAGCTAGTGGGGTTACATAGTCGAGTACATGGTGGTTGTTGAATGTGTTCGAGTTGGGGCATTGCCTGTAACTATTAGCTATCATCATTGCTTTACCCAGATTTTATATGTTATCTTTGTATATATTGAAGGGCCTGTACTCATAGTGCAATTAGATGAAAAGTGCCGCCACGCGATAGCAAGACCAGAAGCAAAGAGAGCCTTTAGCGAAGCGAGTCTTGCGGAGCTAATTTACCCTGTTCGTCGAAGATCACCAAGCTTGAAAGAAGAAATCTGCCAAAAGTAGACGATTGGCCCTGCAATAGACTGAGAAGTAGAGGGAGGGAACTCGAAGATCGGTCTCATATGGCATGTCACCGTTAGCTACCCCAGTATTGCTAAACATCAAGCGTTCATGGTACTGCGCCGCCGCCGAGCACGAGTTAGGGGTGGAAATCTCCTGCGCTATAGTGGAAATCGCATACACATCGGTAAAAAATAAGGAAAACTTAGAGTAGCTATCTATAATATGTGAGCGCGCCGCTTTATCTCTTTCAAAGCTAGTACAGAAAACCGCTTTTCAGCGGGGAGGGGGAGGGGGCTTACAACATTTCGTGTGGCAGCTATGGCTCAGACATTTACGAGTGTTAGTTGGCAGTAGGGGTTTTGCAGCCTAGAGAGGAGCACAGGAGGCTGAATTTTCCGCGCCCACGGTGATCGCGAACAAGCGCGCATCTATACGCGCGTACTGCCTAGTCACGCCTCGAGGCATGACCTTGTGCAAGCGTGACTTAGGCAAATATTATTAACCATCGGCGCGCATGCGCAGCGAGGGTTACTGTAGTTGGGTTTGTCTGTCTGTCTGTCTGTTACTCTCAATCTCACTTCTCGAGTGTCTGTTCGTCTCACAAAGGATACAACCTACTTAACGGGCAATGAAGGTCAGAAAATATGTACAGTTTTCTCTGAAACTGCTCCGTTGCAGAGCTAGAGCGCGAAAAAGCCAATATGCAAATACACAACGGACGGGCGGCTTACTACGGCATAATCACTCCGCGTGCTCTGCGTACCTCGGAGGCACCAGAAGATGCAACGCAGGGCGTGTATCGCCACTCGCATGCCATCTAGTAGTGTAGTTAGCCCGCGTCAGACTCTGCGCGAGCTGGCAAGAGACCACGAGTAACAGCTAAAACTAAACCCAGCCCATCAATTAGTGGTACGGCGCATGCGCTTACTTACGCGTGCGCTTCACAATGCGCCGAGGGTTTGCACTTCAGTGCTTTTCATTGGGTGTGTCTGTCTGTCCGTCCGTCTGTCTGTCTGTTACTCTACATCTCACCTCTCGAATGTCTGATCGTCCCAGAAACGATACCATCTACCCAACGGGCGACGAAGGTCAGAAAATATGTGGGGTTTTCTCTGAAAATGCTCCCTTGCAAACCTAGAGCGCGAAAAAGCTAATATGCAAATACGCAACGGACGGGATGGCTTACCGCGGTCGTGCTCTGCGTACTTCGGAGGCACTAGAAGATGCAGCGAAGGGCGTGTATCGCCTCTCGCATGCTATCTAGTAGTATAGTTAGTCCGCAAGCTTTCTGTATAAAACTTTCTGGACCGACGTGCTTAGTTCAAAAGTACTACGCACACGGACAATCTCTATATTTCGCCAGCCATGGCCAAGGTGATAAATGGCGAAAAGTAGCTATTTTCATTGTGTATAATATTGCAAAAGTTTGAAAGATAATCAAAGATGTTGAGTGGAACATACATTCCTGCCTGTTGGACTTGGTAAGCCAAGGTCTTGTGCTATAGCATTTAGTTAGTCTATACTACTCAGTGTAGATAATAAACAAAACACAATATATTTCGTACGTCCAGACCATGGCAGTCAAAGCCAGGAGAAGTAGAAGCTGCTGTGGAAGTGCTCTCAAGCCGGCTACAGGCACATCAACACTGCCCAACTTACCAGAATGAGCTGAGATTGGAGTCACTCTGCAGAAGTGTTTCGAGGAGGGTGTGTGCAAGAGAGAGGACGTGTTTGTCACTTCTAAACTCTGGTACGCTGAAACTAGCTTGTTGATATTATTTTCTCTCTTTGATGCTCAGGTCAGGTAACATGGAGAAGCAGTATGTACTGTCGTCCTTGCAGGAGTCTCTAAAGAAACTCCAGCTAGCTAGACTACCTTAACCTCTTCCTTGTTCACTGGAAGATGGTATCGTTTCTGGGACGATCGCAGAAAATGACAAGCTTGGTTACGATGAGTGTCGCGTGGCAGGAGTTTGGGAGGTAAAGAGCGTTGCTGTAGCTGTATGTTGTAGCTAGTATGCTAACAGTGATTTGTTCATACAGGGCATGGAAGAGGGTCAGTGAGCAAAGGTCTGCACTAGGGCCATAGGCATCTCCAACTTTACCATCACAAAGACATAGTCACTCCTCAAGACTGCCAAAATTGTACCAGCTGTCAACCAGGTGGAGTGCCACCCTTACTTCCAGCAGAAGAAACTTAGAGAGTACTGTGATACCGAAGGAAGCTAATGATATAATAGTGTGTAAGATGTCAATCTCACGACGTACATATGCAGGGATTTGATTCAAGCCTATTCGCACTTGGAGTCCCGCACGTGGGGAGTTCAGTCATGCTCTGAATCCGGTCGTGATGGATGAATCCAACCATCAAAGAAATAGCGGAGAAAAAAGGAGCCACCGCCAGCACCAGA